CATTATGAAATTAAATCATATAATACACTGATTTTAAATTCTCTCCTTTTATAAATAACTGTTTTATATATAAAAGAATTTAAGTTCAATTACTTAGTGGTAATTTATGTATATATAGAATATAAATTTATATTTTCTTAGAATATTAAACAATAATAAATGTATTTATTTGTAGCATCTAAAAATATATTTTTTATTTTGATGAAACAAAAAACAAAATATTTACGAAGAAATTTCTTTAAAATAATATTGAACCCTTGTGATTGCATTTGACACTTTCGGAGCAGGCACAACTGAGCGTATGAGCGACATTTTTTGTTATATTAGCAAAGAGAATGACATATGAAGCAAGTTATCTATAATATCGCGAAAATTCCAAATTATTTTATGTCAAATAAGTGTCGACTGATATAATAAAAATAATGTTAAATTTAGGTCCTATTGAGAATATACCGTTTTGTTTATATGGAGAATAAACCATGTGACTTTTGGAGTATACAGCTAATTTTATCTATTGTGCGAGGTCAAAAGTATGTGGAAAATTTAAAAAATATTCTTAAATATATATTTTTATTGCGATTTAAAAGAATTCATTGAACTAATGTCTGTTATAAATTCTTACGTTCACATTGATTTATAATTTTTTATTTATTTGTATTACTTATTTTTGTATTTTTGACAAGTCTTTTTTTTTAATAATAAAATTTGTGATTTTAGTCCAAGGTCTAAATATATAATATATATTTAAGAAGAAGAGTTTGTGATTGTATTTTTTTCACTAAAATATTACATTAATTTTAAACATTCTATCAAAATAAAAAAATATATTTTTTCTATTTTCTTTGTCTACTTATTCGAAAATATTTGAATATATTGCAAGAACATGACGAACAAAGAATAAGATAAAGTTGGTTTTCTCAACAATTTTTTAAGCAAAATTTCAAAATTTGATTATCTGACAGTAGATATCAGTTTAAGTATAACATTCTAAAATATATATATCTAAAATATGTGAATTTAAGGTGTTTAACCTTAAGAAAATTTCTTTGTTTGTTTAAAAAAAAAATTTGAAGAATTAGATTTAATTTGTTTTTTTTTATTGATTTAATCAAATAGCAACAAACTTAAAATATATTATTTTATTTATTTTATTATTGATAACAAAATTATATGACAATGAACTTTTTAGTTAAATAAATATCATCACTGGTATATCAATGGGTAATGGTTATATCAATGGGTAAAAAAAAAAATAGTACACAGTAGTAAAATAAGAGTAACAGAATCAAGTTGGATGGAATCAAAAGTAACTACAATACAACAAATTGTGTTGGTAAGCATTTTTGATTGGAAAGCAATCAAAAAATTCTAAAAATAAGTAATTGTAGAACTTTAAGGGCAATAAAGTAACACACACTCAAGAAGAGACATTCTAATAAAAGAAATAGTCTCGTCATCATTCAAATCCTTAATCACTTTTCTGTTTCTGGTACTCATTTATATCATAACATTCTTATTTTAATTCTTATTTTAAGCTATGATAACTTTATATTCTAATTATGTTCTATAAGAAAATATACGTGATATATGATAAGATTTAAAAATTGTAAAGAACTGTTTTTTTCCTTGGACTTAGTCCACTGTTTTTTTTCTGGAAACATTCGAAATAAAACGTAAATAGAAATTAAAAATATTGAAGATATAGTAATAATGATAATATATTCTTATTCAAAAGCATGCAATTTTTTATAATTATAACGTTTCTTAGATAATTACGTTAGTTATTGTTGTTGTTAACTTTAAATTTGGCAGTCGACAGCTTTAGGCGAAATTGGTTTATTGTGATATCACTATGAATCCTTAAACATTATCGCTTGTTGGATCAAATAATAGTTAGTTCTATCTTTAACATTAAAAATGTGTTTAAAATGGTTGTGAATACACTCTTTAATCATAAAACTTTGGTTGCCCTTAAAAGCATTTAATCAAACCAAAAATTACCTGCAATTAATGCAAAAGTTAAGACATTATAAAGAGAGATACAGAGATAGTTATTTTCTCGAAGAACATAGGTAAAGTAGTCAAATCGAGTGCCAGACAGTTGTTGCATTTTTAGCAATGCGCTTAGAACATTTCAGATATATTTGTTTTCTTAGATACCATTTAGCAATAAATGCAATTTAATGTATAATAGTCAAGTGAAGGATTGTAATAAATTACTGAGCTTTACTAATTAACTTTGGGTGTTATTGGAAGCATCGTTGGATAACTGCAAATACTGTAAGATGATTAGTATCCTAGGGACACCTATGGAACATAGCAATGGTATATTGCACCAATGTTTTAACAGTAGCTTATTTAAAAAATTAGAGTATTTAGGAGTGATCAAGATGAGCAGGAAACGAAAGCTATTAATCATTTTCTATGTCATCTTGCTAGAATACTAACGAAAATAATTCAATGGCCAGGAGATCATTTCCTATTGGTTTGATAAGGATAATAAAGGTATCCAATCTAATTATGTTCATTTGCAAAACTAAATGACTCTAACGAGCTTAGCATATGGATTAACAATGGAAACAAAAGTTTAGCATACTATGTAGCAATGACTAGTGAAACATGCCTTCACCACGTCAATAGATAACTCACGAGATAGTGGAGATATTTGTGTTTAAATGCCTGAACTCACGGAGGGTATGACTTCACATATATTTTTTTTTAAATACTTATACATTTATTTATTGAATCTTCTCTTGAGACTAACCATAAGTTTTAAAATCTTGTCACTAATTACATAATATTACAATTTTTTATTTGAATTATGCATTGTATAATATAAAATAAAATAAGTAAACCTTATCCGAGGTCCGTAAGACCTCACTTAAATCAATGGGTTAAATTTCATTGGAGTGAATGTTAGGTGGTTCATTAAGAAAACAGTTAAACTTTATCAGATTACTTAAAAGTAAAGTGCGGTTTTTACTTCAAGCTATTGAGTATTAATTAATGGCTGGACAGTCAGTTCTTTTCAATTGGGAAGTAATGAATAGAAGTGCGGGATTCCTTGCTAAGGGGTTAACACATTCTGTAACATGCTTAATCAGACTTTACATATGACACCAATTAAATCTGATATATAATATTATATAAATTATATATATTTATATATATTGTATATATATATATATATTCATTTAGATAATACCTATTAAATACGATATATAATATAATATTCATCTAGATATAGGTATATATATCAAACACATAGGCATATCACATAGTTAAAAGAATATTTAATGAAATAATTTTGGAATAAATAAGTTTTACTATGCAGACAGTAGCGTTCGTTTGTATGTTAAATAAATAAAATTAGAAAACAAAAAATAGCTGAACTTTAGTGAAAACAATGTATCAAAGAAATAGAATGTTAAGAAATAGAAAATAAATTTTAGGTTCATTAAATTCTCAGCAATAAAATTAAATATTGAAGCAGCAGATTGTCCTCAATTGTGGTCGCAATTTAGTAGTTTGAAAGTATGAAAGTAGATAACAATAAGAAAAATCTGAAAAATATTTTATTTTTTTATTAGTAAACAACCTTTAAGCAATAAATGTACAAATAAATGCAAGTCAAGCAAATATGCGGAAAGAGTTTAAATTTTTGGTTTAAAAAAAATTTCGCAAATTGAAAAAAAAATTGAATATTTATGAGATATGAGAGTAATAGTAATTTTTTATTTTATCATTCAAAATCTAGTCATTTACTAAGAAATAGAAAACAACTGCCAACAAATTGATATTAAAATAATTGTTAGTTTAATCCTTACTTTCTCGATGAGTTTTAATAAAAGAGGATTAAGTCAATAGAGAATGTAAAAATCTTTTGTCATTAAAATTTTTGATCAATTTAAATAACTATTTTATATGGACTAAATTGTATGTAAAATGAATACTGCACATTCATGTATTTAGCTAAATTCAAAGAGATATGAGTACGAATATTGAAAAATGCTTAGCTAATGGATATCAGCCTTGAGTGCTTATAAAATGGCATTTACTTTTATTGAATTCTCGTAGATTTGTCCAAAAGCGTTTATTTTTAAAGTGATTGCAAAGCATTTTTCTTTATAGTACAATATTCTTCGTCTCTGTCATCTCATTGCTCTATAGTTTTTTACTTTAAAGATTTTATTTTTAATTTTTTATATTAGTGCTTTTGGCATCAAATATCAAAGAAGAAATTGCATTTGCATATAAGAAGGATTAGAGTTTTGTACAAAAGACGACAACTGTACTATGCATAAACTCATCAATATACGTTATATTTGAATTTATATATAAAACTATTGATAATAAACTTTTTGAAAAAAATATGCGTAAATATATTTTTAAATCCATTTTAAGACTCTTTTTCATTATTTATGTTCCAATAGTTTTGAATTGATTGCAATATGTGTTGTGATTGCAAAAATCTGTTATAAGATTTTTACTCCTAATACTATATTCGTTATATTTTATTTTAAAATTGAGAAAAAAAAAATTATACTTCTTTTAATATATGAAAGCTTATATATACAAAAAAGAATTTATTTTTTATGCTTTTAATGGCATTAAAATTTTATAAAAATGTGTAAATGCTTTAAGTAATTGAAACTGATTGATAGGTATCTGGCATTTGTTTCAGATACAAAACTAATGTTATATCGCAATTGCCTCTTTTGCTAAATTAAACTGTGCTGTGAATAATAAAGTATGCAGAGTTATCAAATTCTTAGAAGCAGACTTCGTAG